GTGTGCGCCCGCGACCTCCGGACACGAATGCCGGACCGAAAACCCCGCTCCGCGCGAGCTTACTTTTGCGATTTTATTTTTGCTCTAGCCAAGACCTTCCAGCTTCCGTTTAGCATAAAACAATGATGTTTAAAGACCATAATGAGACCTTAATGGTGATCAATGGAGGCAAACCGAATCAAGCTTTCATGGCTTCGGTTTTCCATCATCAAAAGCTGAATTACTAGCCAGAATGTGGCCAGATTCACCATGGAAAATCAAAAAACGTTTTGGCTGGTTTTAATCACCATTATTCCGGGAATAAATCTGGGTTATTACACCATAATGTCTTGGTGTAACACCCAGATTTTAGAGCCTATATAAAGGCCAAAACTCCACATGATAGAAAAACACTTTCTCACAATTCTCTTCTCCTTTTCGGTTCTCTCTCTCTCTTGGTTTGTTCCGGATTTCCTTAAGTAGTTCTTGTAGTTCAATTTTTGGTGATAGAGGAAAGATCAAGTTCTAGTTCGCCGGACGGTTCCGAAAGTGCATCGAACTGCCGTCGTTGTCGTTGTATCCTGGGAGACGGACGTCCAACGTAACCTCAAGCACACGCCGGAGGGGACGAATCTGTTTTAAGGACAACGTGGTTCACGTGCCTCGACATTCATACAATTCCGTTTTCCGAATTCCATAGAAAGGTTGATTTCGGGTTGTAACAATTTTCATTATTTTGTTATTCCTTTATTTCCTTGTTCTTCTTTGTATTTTCAATTAAATTGTCTAACAAATTTTTAGTTATAAAAATTAATAGGTCATAACTTGTCAAGTTATGGTTCATAACCAGATAAATTATTGATAAACTTGTCAAGTTATGGTTCATAGCCAGACAAGTTATGAAGAAAAATCGTGAATTATAGACAATAACTTGTCAAGTTATGGACGGAAATAGTAATTTGGCATATTTATTAACTTATGTAAACTGTTGGCCTATTAATTTTAATTCATCTCAAGTCTTAGCCTATTTTTCTCTTTCTCCCTTAAAAATATAAACAGGCTAAGTTTATAATTAGTTATTAAATAGACTTTTAATAGGTGTAAATCAGATTTACACTAAATTAAGATTTTAAAAAGCCTCTAATTAAAAAAAGGAAATGAAATCTTAAAATCTACTATGGTTTTTTTTTTCCACGTTCTCTCTATCTCCTCACTCTCTACACTGTAAACTAAGGATTTATGAGTAAACATAATATGTGTTCGGATGATAAATTCTAAATTTATCATGTAAATTCAAGATTTAAAACGAAATAAAAATTGTATTCAGATGGTAAATATTAAATTTATACTATAAATCTAAGATTTATAAATAACACAATGTGTGTCCAGATGGTTACTTCTGGATTTATCATATGATAAATCTTATATCTACGAGTATAACTAGAAAGCGTGCTATCTTATATTAAAAAAGTTAATATAATCTAATAACAGTTTATCCATTATTTTTGAATAAACACAGTATATGTTTGATGATAAATCTTAAATTTACCGTGTAAATTTAGGATTTACGAAGGAACGGAAATTGTGTTATGATATAAATCTTGGATTTATCGTATGGTAAATTCTAGATTTACGAGTAGAACTAAAAAATATTTATCTTATATTACTAAAAATCTGAATTTACCGTGTAAATCTATAATTTATGACGAAATAGAAATTGAGTTCTGATGGTAAATATTATATTTACACTATAAATTCAAGATTTATGAAATAAAAAAAATATGTATTCTATTAGTAAATCTTGAATTTACATTGTAAATCATAAATTTACGATTGGCGATGAGAGAGAGAGAAAAACAGACCCACGAAGAACTAATAGAGAGAGAAAAGAGAAAAAGAGATCTAAAGAAAAAGAGAGAAAATTTAAAAAATGAAAAATTCAAAACATAAAAAAAAACTATTCATTGCTAAATTAATTATTTACTAACATAAGTTTTAAAAGTATGCCTATTTTCTATAAATTTATCTGGATTTATTTGTTTTTAAGGAGAAATAAAGTGCTCTATTAACATTGTTTAATAAATAATATTAGAAACATCAATTCAAAAACTAACTTTTAAATAACGTACCTCAATTTATTACTTTTAATTTAACACTTACTTTGCTAATATACCCCTTTTTAGTTTATTTTTTCTCTATGCACACTATTTTTCTCTCTCATCTTTAATGCCGGTCATGCTTACTTACCTTTTCTATCTCACTTCTTATTTTCTTTCTCTTCCCTTTCATCCTTAGACCTTTGCGTTGTTCCTCCATTCATGGAAAAACCTGTAACACTTACACTCTGTTTAGTAAGATGAAAAGAAAATAAAAGGGACAAAAAATTTAGAATGATAGAAAAGATTTTAATTTTTTCTTGACTTGTTTGGTATGATAGGAAAGAAAGAAAATGAATCTACCTTCTATTGTTTGGTATGGAAAGTGAAACTAAAGAGATGAAAAAATTATTATTAGTGTAATTACTTTTTTACCCAAATATTTTTTATTAATATTCTTTTCTAATAAAAGTATAAATAATATAGTATTAAACATCAAATTAACTCTGAAAATTCATATAACTTAAACATATATTCTATCTATATTATGTATATATACACACACATACGAAATTTTCCACAAAACAAAAACCTTTTATGTATACAATACACATATATTACCAATGCAATGCTGATGATATTATGGCTTGATTAATATTGTAATTATTGTGACGAAAAATGGTAGCTGAATTTTTTTTTGAAAAATAAGAAAAATTTTTTGACATATTTGTCATTATTATAATATGTGCGGCAATCTGATTTCTCTCCTTTCTCTTTCAAATTTTTGGCTGTAATTTATAAGACAATTATTGAAAAATGGCTTATCATTTCTTGGTATAAAACCCCAAAATCATATCTCTGTTATGAATCAAAGTTTTCTTTTGATGGCTTACTATTAATCAAGTTATTTATCCCAAAAAAATGCCAACTTTTGGAGCCAATTTTAGACAAAAAATGAGGACAATTCAGTAATTTGACTTCATTTAGGTAGTTATCCACATTTTTTCTTGCTAAAATCCTCCTACTTTTGGAGAGATTAAATATGGTGGGACCCACTAATCACAATTTCCATTCAATTTTCTTTTCCTTCCTAATTTCTTTTCTAAACAAACAAACTAAGGCCCCGTTCATTTAACCGATTCGAGTTTAGAATTCGAGTTTTGCTACAGTAAAAAGCTCTCAGAAACAGTCACATCTAATTTTTTTACTACAGTAAAAAGTTCTCACATAAAGTCACATCTCAACTCGAATTAAAAACTCGAATCAACGAACTAAACGGACCCTAACTTACCAATTTCCATCTTAAAATCCCTCCAACAATTTCTTTCCTTTTACTTTTCATTCATACCAAACACACTATTAATGGGGGAAAAAGAAAATCTAACAAATCTTGCTCCTCCAAAATCACACCACAACGTTAGGCTCTTTTACTTTCTCTTCCACATATATTATTTCCCTCAGTTCACAATCATCACTTGCCTATTTTTTTAAAAGAAAAAAAAAGAGAAAAAAGAAAATGGAAATATTTAGATCTCATTTATTTTATTAATTTAAGTTTTATTACACTAAAAGCTCTCATAAACAGTCACATCTAACTTTTTATCATAATAAAAAATTCTTATATAAAATCACATATTAACTCAAATTAACGAATTAAATAGACCTTTAGAGAACAGAAAATAAAAATACAAAATCATTGTTAAATTAAATAATTTGACGTTTCATGAACAAAAAAAAAAAGACGACTTCAATAATTTCCATAAAGAAGGTTGGATAAAGACGAAATAAAAATAAAAAAAAAATAAAAACGAGATTTGATTCATATAAATTCAGTAAAAGACAAAAAGTAGATGGAAACTTACATGAGCTTCTTCGTTCATTATAACTGGTTCTTTTGCCATTATTATTATTATTATTATTTGGATACTGGAAAGCTATTGTGGGAATAATCGTAGAAAAGGTATTACTTTGTGATGTTCGAGAATAAGATGGAATTGGAAATGTCACGGGAGTATACCATAAATTAATTTTAGATTTTAAAAGTCATATTAATTTAGGAGTGATGAGTTGACATATAAAGTAGAATGACATGTCACATGTCATATAAGTTAGTATTCAAAAATTGATTTTTGAGTTAGTAATTTTAGCATTATTCTTGTTTAATTGTGTTTGAGTGATGATGAATAAAAAAAATGTTTGGTGTAATGGTAGGTAACCAATGTAGTGTACTTATATAAGAATTGGCAATCGAATGTAGTATTTTGTGAAAAAAATTGATCAAATTTAACATAAAAATGGTATAGGTGAATAATTACTTTCTTAGATTGTATAAATTTTAATTTTTATTATTTATTTTTAATTAATATTTAATTAATTAAATATTATATTAATCAAAATGGTCAGAATGAAGAGTAAGAAAAAAGGTAAAACTTAGGATAATTTTGACAAATACTTATTAAAAATGTATGAGTTAGAATTTTTACCCTTTACTCATATTTTATTATCTTTTTAATCAAATAACTACACTAATAAAAAAATATTTATTAAAAATAAAAAATAAAAATTTAGACTCACTCTAAAAACTTATGCACTTTTAACTGTAATTTTCTCTAACTTCATATGTGGCCTTGGGTTTTAGTTGGAGGTTGGATTAATTTGGGCCTCATAACCAGTAGCAGACCTAAGTGAGCCCACTCGAGCCAGATAATCCAAATGCAAGCCCAAAAGCAGTCTTCTACGGTTCCACCGACCCAAAGTGACGACATCACCAGCGCGCAACACGTGCCATGAGTAGCGCTGCTTACGTTAACCGAAGACACTCTAATCTGAGATTATGGTGCTGTAATTAAAACTAATATCTCTTGATCACATACTCCTTTCTTTTCCCTTTTTTCCACTCCTTTTTTTTTTTTTTTCACCTGAAGACGATTTTCTTTCATGTTTTTATCCTCAGCTTGCGTTTCGATCTTTCAATAAAACCCGCGAAATTTCTCAAAAAAGGTACGATTTTTCCTTTATTTATATTTTCCTCCCTGTCCGCCATGGGAACACGCTAAAAAATTACTGTGTTTTTGTGCTTTTCCGTTTAGAGCATTTCATTGTATATTTCTGTTGAAATGCGAAATGGGTATCCAAGTCTTTGTCGATCATTTCCCCTTTAGTATGCACTTTTGACATATTTTCATCTATGTTCTTCGTAAAATTTTCCGAGAAAATTAGGGAAAGGAGTTTCACTTCTTTTTTTTTTTTTGACATGTATATGTTATCTCCAGTTGTTGTTATGGAAATGGAGACAGATTTCATTTTTTGTTCTTGAAATAGTAGAAATATTATGAACATGTTGTTTAAGAGAATCTCTATAATTCTTTTAACTTTTTGTAAAAGAGAAAACTCAATATGTAAGGGTTACCATGCTTAACTTTTGCTTCAAAAAATCTTAATTTGCAATATTTGTTTAGGTTTGTAGATTATTAAAAATACTTGCTAATAATTTGTGTTAACAAGAAGCTCACCAAGAAGCAATATTTTAGTTGATTTGTTATAGTCAAGATTGAATTAATTCTGTTTTGTTTTTATTCTTAGTTTTTGAAATCCGGGTTTCAAGATTAGAACAATTGAACCATAGAAATGGATTATGATGCTGTTGATGAAGCTAGTGTCTCTGTTGATCATGTCAATGCTCATGACCAAGGGGCAGATTCCGGTAGACCTGACTTTGGTGATAGGATTTCGTCCAACAGGGAGGTGCTCGGGGAGTTGAGGAACTCTGGTGAGATCCTGACGCGGCTCGAGCTCGATTTAGCATGTGTTTCCGAGAAGATAGTTAACTTGAATGTTCTTATGATGCATGTGGCGACGAGGGAAAACGAGTTTGAAGCTTTTGCCTTGGAGAAAGAGCATACATTGGATGATTCTTTGGAGAAGGCTTTGGAATTTGATTTATTGTCTGGAGTTTTGGATTCGGAGGTGAGAGGATTGGATGGATTCATGGCTGTACTTCAGTCAGAGATTGTCAATGCCCGTGAGCTAGTATCTTCATGCTTACACGAGGGAGAAACTCTCGGAGAAATGGAAGAAAAGTTGTGTGATTCTGAACAATCTTTTAAGCAGTCACAAGATCAGATTTCTGAAATTAGGATGCAGTCACTGAAGTTGCAGAGGACATTGACATGTTTAGATCGAGAAGAAGAATGTAAGCTACATATTATATGCCGTTTCAAGAACATTTTGTTATCGTTACTATGGTTGAAATCTAATCGTGCCTATTACTTTATTTAGTTTGGTGGTTGTGGACTAACAATAGTTACTGTTCTTTTTCCTTTCGATTTTTTCCCTCTTCGATGGAGACATCTAGTTTTCCCCGTCAGTGAACAAGTAAAACTGTTAATTTTTTTTTCTTGCATCTCACTTTCTTATGAATATGTTGGCAGGGAATAACTACAAAAAGTTAGAGGAGGATCAATTTTTTAGTGTGAATGCAAAAATAAAAATGCAAACTGCTGAACAACAAAGACATATTTTGAGGTTGCTGGAGAAATCTTTGGCAAGAGAGATAGATCTTGAAAAGAAGTTAGTCGAATTTAGGCACGTTGAAGAAGAGTTAAAACAAAGGCTCCTCTCGTCCCAACAAGAAGTGTATTGCATGGAGGATGAAACAGCAGATGTTTGGGAAAGATGGTTTGAGGCAGATAGTACATCTGCAGTTCTGATGGGAATTTCAAAAGAACTATTGGGTCGGCTCCAGATACTCGAGTTCAATTTGAACAGTTTGGTTCAGCAAGAAACCAAGCTAAGATCAAAGCTTGAAGATTCCATAGAAGAGCTGAAAGCCAAAGAAAACTCTTTGAATGAGCTTGCAAGCAGCAGTGCAGAAGTTAGTGACTTGCTTGTTTCACAGACCAACAATTTAAAAGCAAGCTTGAGGGAGGCTGAAGACAAGTTGATTCTTGCCAATTCAGAGGCTTTTACTTTGAGTGAAAAGGTCGCTTTGCTTGAGAAGCAGCTGAAGGAGTCTGACAAGGTTGAATTCCTTGAGAGGAAGTTAAGAGAGTCTGATATCCAGTTACAGCGTGCAATTGCATCTGCTGAAGCTAGTCAGGAGAAGCAAAACCTGCTGCATTCTACAATAGATGATATGGAAAATCTGATTGTGGATCTTAAGGGAATGGTTTCAAAATATGAGAGTCGGGCTGATAGTGCCGAGGAGAAGTGTATTATATTATCTGAATCTCATGCGGAGCTAAATGAGGAACTGAACTTTTTGAGGGGGAGATTGGAATCCCTGGAAGCATCTTTGCAACAAGCTGATGAGACCAAGTTGGCCGCTGCGAAGGGCGTAGGTCTCCAGACCAAAGTTGTTGCAAATTTGGTTTTGCAACTAGCTTTTGAACGAGATCGTCTTCATAAGCAGGTATCGACCAAAGACGCGTGTGGTACTCTCGATTTATTGCATTAGTACCCCTCTTTTTTCTTTCCCAATTCTTATCAATGTCTGATACTCTCGCATGGAAATTGATAAGCTTGGTTGTTACATGTCAAGAGTCCTTACTGGGGTATGTCATGTGGGGTTTTCCCCTGACTCTAAAAGTACGAACATTCTGCTGATTATAACAGTTTTGATGTCTTATGTATAGATTTCTTCGTTAGCAATGGAGAATAAAATTCTACTGCTGCAGTTACAAGGAAGCAACAAAGATTCTGCGGTTTTGAGGCATGATATGGCTGCTGCTACGTGCTCAAAGGACAGCAAGGAAGAAGTTACTGAAACGACTTCTATCAGTTCTGAGGTAGGGGCCTTATGTCTTAATGTTTCACTGTTTAATTACGAAAATATAATCGTAATAGTTACTTACTTCCAGGGGCTTTTTTTTTTTTTTTAATTTTATTTATTTTTGCTATGATTTTTCTAGATATACGAATCGATTGCATTAACTAATTTGGATTTATTCTAACCAATGATAGTTTTCCTCATCATGAAGTAGAACTCTTGCGGAGTTAACTTGAGAAAGCTTTTGGAGTAAAGCTATTAAATATTTTAATCAAAGTCTTTGGATTTGTTATTCCTTTTTTCCCTTAGTTTGGATTGTTAAAATATTTTTAGTTTGGAAGTGAATGTTTTTCATACTTTTGCCTCATTATGTGTACCTTGTCAGCTGGATAAGACTCGAGAGAATGCATCTTTCGTTGAGAATGAAGTGGGAGCAACACCAGGACCAGAGACTGCAAGGAGAATCGATGCAGGAATCTTGAACTTTAAGCTAGTTTTTTTGGCAATGCTCATTCTGCTGATCGCAGTTGCAGCTTATTATTCTTCTCAACTAGAAAGCTGATTTTGACCAGGATTCCAAAGTTCTTCATAAGTTCACCAATGAAGCTCTTTCTCTACGTGGCCTCTCTCCTATACCTACCCAGAAAACACAAAAGGCTTTGACGATGAAAAGATACCACTGCGAAACTTGTTCTGCCAAAGAATTTATAGGTAGTGTATACAGTCCTAATCTGACTCGACCTCGAGGTAGATATTTTATTTTTATTTTTTTTTCTCAAGTGAAGAAGACAGTTTTAGCTTGAACCATTTAGGACCTCAAAAGCTGACGGAGTTGACCGTATCTTACCATAGCATTTTGCGGTTTCTTGCATCAACTCAGGCTTAGGATAGTGTTCTTGCTATCCTGTTTCCTTCATGGTAGCTAGCTCGAATTTCGAAGCGATGTAGACTCTGACTGAGTCGGGTTATTTGAAGTTTCATTTTGTTGGGACTAACTTGACTAGCGAGTTATCTCAGTTTTGGCCCCTTTTCTTTCCAAAGAAGTTTTGTCTGCATTTCTGCTGACAAAAGTTGTTTACTTCGTTGCTCTTTGTATCCTTGTATAAGTTAACTGGTTCCATGAAGTTTCTCATGACTTCAGCAATGAATGTGATTAGCTAAGAAGCGACTTTAGTGGCACTTTTCTGATTGTTGCCCCGTACATTATTCTTTTAATATCATTTCCATGAACTAATGGCGTATGATGGTGACTGACCTTACATTTTAAGCAAGTATTAGTTTAACACTAAGCAACTTACTTTTGAGTTATACAAAATCCTATAACGATCAGTAATATCTATCTTAATGTATCGGAGAGTGAAAACACGGAGCAAAAAAAGTCATTGAAACGACAAATTCTCACTGTTTTATTGAAATTTTCAGTTTCAAAAAAATTGCAATATAATGTGATAATATCACAAGCTATTCGCTGTCCAAAAAACATAAAAAATTTGCAATCTCTTGGGAATGCGTATATTTTTTTAGCAACTCTTCCAGTATTTTGTTCTCAACTAACTTGGAATTTAACCAATCAAAATGGTTACAAACAAAACTAAGAATTGCACATTTAAGTTCTGAGCTCTTCTTCCTGCTCTTCCACTTCTACATCCTCATCAAAATGAGCATATAGCGAATACCCAGCCCATTTCATTTCACCAACTAGCAAATGGAGTTTCTCATATATCTCTATGCACCTTGGATGAGCTTTGTCCCCAACAAGAAATGCATGTACCTCATCTTTAACCTCAATCCAGCTACAACCCGGCTCCTTCTTCAATTTGTGAGACTTCATTGCTCTTCTCATGTTTGACATCTCACCCCACATTCCAGAATCAGCATAAATATTTGATAGAAGAACATAAGCAGCAGAATCTTGAGGGTCTAATTGCAAAAGATTTCTAGCTGCTTTTTCCGCAACTTCTACGTCCCCATGTAGCTTACAAATGCTAAGCATAGTTCGCCATATAACAGCGTCGGCTTCAAAGGGCATCTCTTGAATAAGCCTCAAAGCCTCATTAAGTTGTCCTGACCTCCCTACAATATCCACCATGCAAGAGTAGTGCTCCAATTTGGGAGCTAAGTTATAGTCACTTTGCATTAAGTGGAAGTAATGCAATCCCTTTTCAGCATTCCCGATATGCGCACAAGCACGGAGGACTGATACGAAAGTTGCATGGTTTGGTTTCACATTCTCAAGTTGCATATCCTCGAAGACTTTAATGGCGTCTTCTCCTAGGCCATGGTGGGCGTAACCACATATCATGGTGTTCCAAGTCACCGAATCCCGCTTTCGTGATTTCTCAAACATCAGTCGAGAATCTTGCATGTTTCCGCACTTTGAGTACATGTCAACAAGCGTGCTGGATATGTACGCATCCGAGAGCAATTCTTGCTTGATTATTTGAGAGTGTATTTGCATCCCAAGTCCAACAGTGGCCAAATTAGCGCAGGTATCAAGAACTGCTGCATAAGTGAAGCTATCAGGCTTGACACCCATTTCCAACATCTGAGAGAAGAACCTCTGTGCATCCTCATTTTGTTTTTGCTGTGAGAATCCAGAGATGATTGCGTTCCACGAAACCATCGTTTGTTCATCAGTTCTATTATGGATCTTTTCTGCCTCTTCGATCATTGCACACTTACAATACATGTCAACAAGTGCACCTCCAACAAACAAATCCAAGCCCATCCCCGATTTAATAACTCTACCATGGATCTCCATCCCATGACTCAGAGCTTGATGAGCGGCACAAGCTTTTAAAACACTACCGTATGTGAACTGATCTGGTTCCATCCTTAAACGGAGCATGGAAACAAAAACCTGAAGCGTTTCCTCCCCATTATTATTCTGTTCATTGGCTGCAATAATTGCGTTCCAAGATACGGCATCTCTCCTTACCATCTCATCAAATACACAAGATGCTTCAAATAGACAACCACATTTTCCGTACATGTCCAGAACGGCATTTGCAACGCATATATTGGACGCCAAACGACTCTTAACGGCGAAGCCATGTAGTTGAAGTCCCTCAAAATGCCCTTTAATCACCGCACAAGCACCAAGCGCACCAGATAGAGATACTTCATCAAAACCAAGTCCAGACTTTCGCAACAGCAGAAACAAGTATAAAGCTTCCTTCCCCTGCTGACTTCGAGCATAGCCCACGATTATGGCATTAAAAGATTGCAAATTATGGTTTGGCATTGAGTTGAATAGTTTCCTAGCATCAAACATATTGCCACATTTTGCATACATATCCAAAGTGGCGGTTCCTACCAAGACATCAGAATCAAAATGCGACTTTATGGCATGTCCATGCAACTGAGTCCCAAACTTATAGGCAGATAATCCAGCACAGGACCTGAAAACACTAGCATAGGTAGACTGGCTCACTCCAATTCCTTCAATCTGCATCCTCCTGAACATCTCTAAACCGTTAACAAATTGGTCATTCTGAATGCAACCTGCAATCATAGCGCTCCAAGAAACCCAATTCTTTTTGGGCAATTCATCAAAAACCTGAAAAGAAAACTTTAGTTTCTTACACTTCGCATACATATCTAACAAAGCACTTCCTGTCACAACATCAACAACATAACCCGTTTTGAACGCAATACCGTGAAATTGAATCCCAAAATCCAAATATTCCATCGCGGAACATGCTTTCAAAATGAGAGCTAACGAAGTAGGGTCAAGCCCCACGCCAAAACTGCTCATCTGCAAACAAACACCAATAGAATTCTGATAGTCACCATTCTGCAAATACCCCGAAATCAAGGAATTCCAAGAGACCACATCCCTCCTTGGCATTGCATCGAACAACGACTGCGCGATCTCCATCTTGCCACGCACAGAATACCCGGAAATCATGGTATTCCAAGAAACCGAGTCTCTCTCAGGCATTTCGTCGAACGTCTTACTTGCATACTCCAAGTTGCTGCATTTCACGTACATCTGAATCAAACAATTCATAACAAACACCGTGGGCTCGAACCCCGATACGATCATCCGACAATGGGCTTGTTTTCCCGGATTGAGAGCTCTTCCATAGGAGCATTGTTGGAAAATCCGAGAAAAGGTTTTGAAACTGTTGGTGGGTTTTGCTTGGTCTGGTGGTGTCAGAGTTGAGAAGAAGAGCCTTGACGAGGAAGACAGTAGTAGTCTTGATAAAGAATGGTGAAAAAATTGAACTTGATGATGACCCATCAACCTCCGTGCTCATTCTTAGGCGGGATTTTCGACCGTTACTTTTGGTTTTTTTTTTTTGGCTATGAATAAACATCATTATTAAAGCCTGGAGGCAGCAAACACGAGTAGAGAGCACTTCTTCCTCTAGAGTTGTTAAAGTGACTCAAATTAGTTTTAAAAAAAAGCAACAATTTTATGTTTTTAGTTAAGTTACTCTTTTCAGTTTTTTAGGCATTGGTTATTTTATGATTTATTAAAAGTTTATAAATAAATATTTTGTATAAGATTTTATGTGTGTGCTTAAAGAAAAGTAATTTCAGAAAAAAGTTTGTAGATAGAGTGTCTCCTTTAAGAGAAAGAAAAGTGACGAGAGAGATAGATAAGGGTGTAAGGGATTTTGGGTAGCGAGAGAAAGCGAAAAAGTTTGTTGAGTGTGTAATTCTAAAACTGTTAGTAAATTTTTTTCTTTTTTTCGTGGACGTAAGAAATTTTTCTGAACCACTTAAATCTTTATCTTCTCTATTTTTATATATTTTTTATTTCAATTTATTTTTCTGTTGCATGTGTGAGGGGGTGCGTTTTTCTCAACAACTGGTATCAGAGTTGTGGTGAATATCTAAAAAAAAATCAAGATGATGTCTGGGATAAAGTTTGAGCAGATTGAGCATTTTGACAGGAAGAGTAATGTCAGCATATGGCGGAGTACGGTAAAAGATGTTCTGATTCAGCAGGGATTACTGAAAGCGCTGCAAGAAAAGAAGCCAAAAAATATGAAAGATGAAAATTAAAAAGAATTGAAAGCGAGAGCGGTAAGCAAAATTCGTTTAAGCTTGGTTTCTGAATTAAAATATAGTTTTATGAATGAAATATCTCCTTCTGAGTTATGGAAAAAATTAGAAAAAGTTTATGTGTCGAAATACCTAACAAATAGATTATATTTAAAGAAGCAATTGTATGAGTTGAAGATGGATGAGAAAACTGATGTTAGGGATGATATAAATAATTTTAATAAGTGATAACTCAATTGTTAAGTGTATAGATCAAAATTGATGAGGAAGATAAAATGGCAATTTTGTTGGCCTCCCTACCCAAATCATATGAGATTTTGGTGACTATACTTTTAATTGGGAAGACAATGTTGACTGTAGATGAGGTGTCAGCCGCTTTGTTAGAGACTGCAAATATGAAAAAACCTAGTATTACGTCTCATACTAAACAAGTTTTAGTGCACAGTCATATTTGAATAGGGATAGGAGCAAGTCACAAGAGAAATTTTATGATAAAAGAGATGATCGTTCCCAATCCTGCCAAGAAAGGATATTAAGTGCAAAAGGTCGTGGTTAATTAGTGACAATGTCCGCCAGAAAATGTAAGTAACCCAACCTCTGAAAATAGAAGGGATCTAAGTTATTCTTCTTACATGAGCGGATGAAATCCCCAACCTTCTCGGCAATCACCTCATTGTTTTCTTTTATCAGAAAAGGAGTCGGTAGAACCAAGGCCCTAACCCAGAAACGAGCCTTGAAAAGATCAACGACCTTCTAATCTCTATCTTGTGGCCAAGCTTTCACATTCAGCAACGAATTGTTGATAATTCAAGGGCGTCTTTTAAGAATTTTCTGACAATCAACCTCCAATTTGAACCGGATGGCGAAGAAACTCGGCCTCGGTTCTTCAAACGACCAAGAATGGTCCGTAGAGAAGATTTGGATACGGGTTTTTCATAGCAGAGCTTTACCAGGACAGAGAATTTGACAAAACGTTCCGTCAAGTCAAAGTTTAAGGTCAAACTAAGGATCAAGTTGACGCTGATATTAGAAGAAATAGAGGGCCCAGACGGTCCCTCCTTTCTTGGCACAATATTACGATTAGGTACCATAGTAGGAAACAAGATGATACAAGTAGGATAGTGAGGACCACCAAGGACCTACAGTAGAGGAATGACGCGGATGGTGAAGTGATTAGTGGTGATATAATCAATAATTTTGTTTTTGAATATATTTTAACTATATTTTAACTTCTGAAAACACCCCTGGGTGCACCCTCTTAATTCTTAAAGGATGTTTAATTATGAACAAGAGGTTGAGTTGTGGTGCTTAGCACTGTTGATGCCCGCAAGCATTGTTCTTCAAATTGTTCATGTGACTTTTCATTTTCAGGCATGATACGAGATGTAAATGTCTTGATATTTCTCGACGTCAAAAAAGCTTTGGAAGGTAAATAGTTTGTAAAGGATAGAGCTTTAAAATCCAAGATACTGCTTTTGCCTCCGGTTTTAGTTCATCACGATGCGAAATGCATGCCTAATTTCTAATTGTTGCTTTTAAATTTTGCACAGATGGAATGAAGCTCTACATCTCCGACAACAAAGTAATACTGACTGAGGGTTTTGACGGTGTCGTACCTCTCAAGTACTTCAAAAAGATAGATTCATGGCCGTGTAGACAACCTATTCCGTTTTGAGCTCTTGGGTTTGACCAAGAATGGTCGTTTTGTTTTCCCTTTTTCTCTTCTTTTTGGTCCCCGAAATGGCCACTTGATTAACTTTGGGACGATGAAATAAGCTGGTTCCATTTTTCCATCATAGATGTATATTTAGCTCTTGAATTACATAGTTTATGACTCCTTATCAACGTGGCATGGAATTTGATATTGTTCCCTTGGAATTATATGCCTGTACTTATCAGTACCTTCAGCGATTTACTCAGTTTAAGTTCAGAAGCTCCGTTTCTCTTGACCACACAAATCATAGAAATAGTTCCCTTTCCATCCAGATGGGAATATCACAATATTTTCAATCGATTAGGGAAAAAAAAAAAAAAGTTTTGATAAGTAACCAAACCCGCATCGTTTAGAAATGAGATAACTTTTGAAACTGCTCGCTGTTTAAATGCAACAGATCTGAGTATACTAATGTATTTTCAAACATGTTTTTTTCATTGAAAAAGTTTCTTTTCTTTGATACATTTTCGTTAAAATATGTTTTTCAAATTTTTTATAAATACATTATTATCCATCCTAAGAATGTCACGCACGTGAACGCAAAAAATTCACTCTTCTGTATGCCGTAATAATTTTGGAAAGTTACACACCCTGCATTTTATTGACACCGTTGATGCTTTTCTTATTAACCACTGGTTTTTATTAATTTAAATTATATGAAATTCTGTTTCGTCTATCATATTCATATATGTTTTCGTACTTATTATTTATTAACACGTGTTAAATTAAATAATCAATTACGTTGAGTATTCTTAACTTCTAGGCTTCTATCACTTGACTAGTTTAAAGTACGTATTTAAGGTGTACGTGTAGTGTGTCACGTAATAAGAAAATTGATAATTTGATATATATGGATTACGTGAAGAGATGTTAAGACAATGTCAAAAAGTTGAGAGATGTTAAAATATAGGACAAATTTTATAAATTCTCTTGAACTTAGTTATTTGTGTCAACATGCTCTTGAATTTTAAACTATTCATGTTATGCTTTTTAAATTATGACATCTCTCTAAATTTTCCCCTTTGTTTGATTCCGCTAAATTTTTTAACGAAAATGTTTATGAATACCCCTGAACTAAACAACTAAATTTTAAATAATCCTAAGACATAAAAAAATAAACGAATTCTAAAACGTAAATATAACTTCAAATTAAAAAATTATTAAAATTATCTAATTATATTCCTTACAAAAGATATTGTTAAAATGTGTGTAGATAATGTGTTGCGTTGTGGCTAGAATTTGTACAAAAATAACTCTGATTTGATTATTTTTTTAATTGTTTTCTTGGTAGTATTTTCAAGTTCTAAATTGTTTGATTTTATCACCTGTGGTAGTGGCATAAAGACAAAAGACGATATGTCATGATTAGATGTGTAAGTTTGGGCCGCCCAACCTGACCCAAAAGAAAATTTCGAGCTAGGCCGGCCCGACTTTAAAAGAGAGAAGGTCGGTCCTGTCCAGGTTTAAGCCTAAAAAATTTAAGATCGGCCTGGCTCGGCCTAAAATTTTACAATTTAAAAACCTCTTTAAAAATATAATGTTTGAACCGTATCGGGCCGAGCCGACTCTCCCTAAGTTCAAAAAATTTAAGGTTAGACCTAGACTAACAGTGGTGGGCCTCGGGTCGCCTAAACTTACAGGCTAGTCAATTCTCATTTTGCAGTTGTGTTACAACACGTTGACCGGAAGCACACCGTTGCAACTGCGAAACCTGAAGAGGCTTAGTGTTCTTGCTCTTCAATACAATCAATTAACCGGTGCAATTCCTGCGAGTTTGGGCGAGCTAAAAGCATTAACAAGATTGGATTTGAGCTTCAACAGCCTCTTTGGTTCTGTTCCTGCAAAATTAGCTGATGCCCCTATGTTACAAGTCCTTGATATCCGAAATAATTCTCTCTCCGGAACTGTCCCACAAGGTGATGTATGCTTTTTAAGTACTACTAACTTAACCAGGCTTCTCATTCTACTCATTTGTAGTTTTTATTTTGTTGGGTATCTTATTCAATTGAAGATTAAGGCATAAATAGTCTATCTTATTCAATTGAAGATTAAGGCATAAATAGTCTATCTTATTCAATTGAAGATTAAGGCATAAATAGTCTAAACTTTATACTTGATTTACATTTAATGTAGCGCTTAAGAGACTCAATGGAGGATTCCAATGCGAAAACAATCCACATTTATGTGGGGTTGGCTTTCCCGACTTGCACGTTTGCTCAGCCAGTGATGGTTGGGAGCCAAATAGGCCAGAACCATATCAACCCAGTAACCTTTCTGCAAATGGTTTCCCACACTCAGCCCAAAATCTTACTGCAGAAGATCTTCCTGAGTCTGCGAATTTGAACCCAGATTGCAGCAGAACCAGCTGTTCAAAAACATCAAAATCTCCTCAAGTTGGTGTGGCTTTGGGGGTCATTGGACTTTTTGTTGCTTTTACTGTTTCTGGTCTTTTCACATTTTCGTGGTACCGCCGTCGGAAACAGAAAATAGGGAGCGCTTTCAACTCATCAGATAGCCGGCTTAGCACTGACCAGGCCAAGGAAGTTTACAGGAAGAGTGCATCTCCTCTCATCAGTCTGGAGTACTCGAATGGATGGGACCCGGTCGCGAAAGGTTGCAGTGGATTCTCTCAGGAAGTTCTTGAGAGCTTCATGTTCAATTTAGAAGAAGTGGAGCGTGCCACTCAGTGCTTCTCGGAAGTGAACTTGTTGGAGAAAAGCAATTTCTCTGCCATCTACAAGGGAATCCTGAGGGATAGGTCAGTTGTTGCAGTAAAGTGCATTGCAAAGACGAGCTGCAAATCTGATGAAGCGGAGTTCCTGAAGGGACTGAAGATATTGACATCATTGAAACATGAAAATCTTGTTAGGTTGAGAGGCTTTTGCTGTTCAAAAGGTAGGGGAGAGTGTTTTCTTATCTACGATTTTATCCCCAATGGAAGCCTCTTGCAGTATCTTGACGTCGAGGAAGGCAGTGGCACAGCTCTTGAATGGTCAACCAGAATATCCATTATCAACGGCATTGCCAAAGGTTGGTGCATTTTTTTCTTGAAAATCAAATTTTGATATGATTCATTGCTTCAGGAGCTTTGTGTGCATTGAAAATTTGACTTTTTTTTTTTGAACCAGGTATTGCCCATTTGCATGGAAACAAAGGCAACAAACCCGCCATGGTTCACCAGAATATATCAGCGGAGAAGGGGCTCACTGACACCAACTATAAGCCCATGATTTCAAATTCGGGTCTGCACAAACTTCTTGCAGACGATATTATCTTCTCCTTGCTCAAAGCCAGTGCTGCCATGGGATACCTGGCTCCCGAGTACACAACCGCCGGTCGCTTCACCGGAAAAAGTGATGTTTATGCGTTTGGTGTGATCATACTTCAAATCCTCTCTGGAAAACGAAAAATCACTCAATTCGTACGCCAAGGGGCAGAGTTCTGCAGATTTGAAGACGTTATCGATCAAAACCTCGAGGGAAAGTTTTCAGAATCTGAGGAGCGAAACTTGGAAAATTGGCTCTTCTCTGTACCAATGAATCTCCTAACCACCGGCCATCCATGGAGAATGTTATGCAAGAGTGGGTTTGTCAGCTGTTGATGTTCTTACCAGGTTTTCACCTCAATTTTCAAAGGACGGGGGGGTAATCGGGTATGATGAAGGATTTACTAACTACGCACTACAGTCAATAATCTATTTTGACTTATAAAATACCCAAAAAAAAAATCCTTTAAATGAAAAAAATAGTACAAATATGACCAAAAAAATGTTTGGTAGAGGGATTTGTTTCCTGATTCGAATCATGATTCGTAGTTCACTACAATATTTTCTCTCATAAAAAATTCACGTAAATAAAAAATAGTTCAAATCACATGATTTGAATCCTCCAACTAAACGTGGCCAATACCCCATCCCCAAGGCCAACCACAATCGCCAAGCCCCTTTAAACCTTCCCCCATGCATACCTACACGTGGGAGGAAACATAAATATCCAGAGATTAATTATGGAAAGGTAGGTTTTTCATGTGTTATTTTGATGGATTTAATTAATTTTGTTTGCTTCGTAGCAAAAATTAATTTAGTTCGGAGGGGATTAGAAAATTGTTGAAATTTGGGGAAATGGAGACTGTCGTGTGATTTTTTGTTTTAGGTGAGCGTTTTTTGTTCCTACCCTAAAAGTATTTGATTAAATGCCCCAGTGAACATATTTTCTTTTGTTTTTAATGTCCCTTATAGTTTCATGCGTTAATCAGTTTCTTGAGCGAGAGGAACTTGAATGGCTAGATTTTTAGGGTATGAAATGACAATTCTTAAAATTAAGTTATTTTTATGTTTGGTTGGACAAAAAAAAATAGAAAATTTAGAAGCGATAATTGGTGAGAAGGATGATGAAATTTGAAGAATGCAAGCTGAAATTGAAATGCTTAAAATGCAAAAATGTTTGATGACAAAATTTCTTGTATTTTATTGTGTTTTAATTGTTGTCATATTGATGTTGAAGTGAAGAAATGATAAGTTGTATTATTGAATGTCTGTTTTGGAAGGCTGTGAAAGTGAAACAATTTGCACTTTATGATAAACTATAAAAAAGCCCTTGGTCTAAAATAAGAAAAAACGCAACAAAAAAAATAAAATTAGGAAAGAGAAAATTCATAAAATAAATAAATAAAAAAGAACAAAACATTTAAAAAGTTAAAATGAAAAAAAAAATGTGTGTAAAGATAACTTTTGACATCACGAATTAAACAAAAAATAGTTAAGTAGAGACATATTTGAAGAAAATTATTTCAACTATTGATAAAAATTAAATAAAAACACATGCAAAAAAATTATTTTCATAAGAGTACAGTGAGAAAAATAAAAATTAAACCGTAAAAAAATTCACAAAATAAAAAAAAATAAAAAAAAATATTTAAAAAAATGTAAAGAATAAAAAAAATAAAAAATAAAGGAGGATGAGAGAGCGCCGCCCCATAAAAGACTTCTGTTATAAAAGTTTTAGCTCTTTTATATATTGTTAGATTAGATATGGTGTGAGAAGAGAAGTGAAATGTGCTCTTGACAGGGCCAGCCAAAGTTTGGGAGACTACTTATGAGAGATGGATAGCTCCACAGCCTGGTTTTGTCAAGGTAAATATTGATTCTACTATCAAACCCCATCTAAATTTTTCTGGGATTGGTATTTGTGTCCGTGATGAGTGAGGACGCGTGTTTGGTGGGGGTAGCTATTCAATTTTTTTGGAAATTTTAGTCCCCATGCTGCGGAGTGTTTGGCGGTTCTAGAAGGGACGAGGTTTGTTAGTGAAGGTGAGTTAGAGTTGAATTTATGATCCGTTTAGTTTGTTGATTTAAGTTTTTAATTCGAGTTTGAGATGTAACTTCATGTGAAAATTTTTTTATTGTAGTAAAAAAGTTAGATGTGATTATTTTTTATAGTTATTTACTACAGTAAAACTTAAATTCTAAACTCAAATCGGTAAAATAAACGGGATCTTAATCAATGTTGTTAATGCCTTAATTCTCAGGTTTGGAGAGCCCTTGAAGCTTCAACCATTGAAGAAGTTCGTGACACTTTTTGACATGCAAATAGTGGCACGGTTTGCTACATACCTCGACGAGGAAATTCTATAGTTCACTGTCTAGTTAATTATGTTTGTTCTCACAATGATGATTTTATTTGGATAGGTGTTTCACTGAGTTTTATTAACTCTTCTGTACTTGTTGATTTCACAATTGAGTAATAAAATTCCAATCTTTTTCCTCAATATATATATATATATATATATGAAAATAATGGTCCTAACGAGTGGCTATCGTCCACCTTACCTAACTATTAAACGATGTTTTAGAGCAAATCAATTCTTGGGACTAAAATGGAGAGCAATCTTATGTCATTAAATTTCTAGCAAGAAAAGAAGTCTTATATCAATATCTTTAAATTTCATTAGAATTCAGAAAGAGATGGAAATTCAAGTTGAAAGTATGTATCATTTTCTACTATATAGTACATACAGTGATCTATTTGGAACTTCAATCATATATGGACTTAATTAATTAATACAAGCATTTTGCACAAAAAAAAAATTATTTAATATATGTACTTCCTTTCTTCATAGCTGGCCTCCTTACATGAAAAAAAAAAATTATATTCGAGGAGCACAACAAGTATATTAGGGGGCATATCTTCACAAGAAACAAAGTTGAGGAATATTATTTATAAACATTTCCGTTAAAAAATTTAGCGGAATCAAACATAGGGAGAAAAATTGGAGAGATGTCATAATTCAGGAGGCACAACATGCACATTTTAAAATTCAAGAGCATGTTGATACAAGTGACTAAGTTCAGGATAACTAATAAAATTTTTTATATTTTAACATCTCTTAATTTTTTAACATTGTCTTAACATCTCTTCACGTAACCCGTATATATCAATTTTCTTATCATGTGACACACTACACGTAACCCATATATATCAATTTTCTTATCATGTGACACACTACACACGTACCTTAAACTAGTCAAGTGATAGAAGCCTAGAAGTTATGAATACTCAACGTAATTGATTAATTAATTTAGCACGTGTTGTGAATAAACAAGAAGAATAGAAACATATATGAATATAATAGACGAAACAAAATTTCATATAATTTAAATTAATAAAAACCAGAGACGAACAAGAAAAACATTAATGGTGTTAATAAAATGCAAGGTGTGTAGCTTTGCAAAATTGTTAAGACGTACAAAAGACTGAATTTTTTGCGTTCACGCCCGTGACATTCTTCGAATGTATAATAACGTATTTATAAAATATTTGAAAAAATTATTTTTACAAAAATGTATCAAAGAAAAGAAACTTTTTCAATGAATCTATTGCATTTAAATAGTGAGCAGTTTCAAAAGTTCTCTTATTTCTAAATGATGTGGGTTAGGTTACTTATCAAAAAAATTGTTTTTTTTTTTTTTTTTTTTTTTTTTTTTTTTTAATTAAAAAAAATTTTTTTTTTTTTTTTTTTTTTTTTTTTTTTTCTAATCAATTGAAAATATTACGATATTCCCATGTGAATGGAAAGGGAACTACTTCTATGATTTGTGTGGTTAACAGAAACGGAGCTTCTGAATTTAAACCGAGTAAATCACTGAAGGAACTGATAAGTACAGGCATATACTTCCAAGGCAACAATATCAAATTCCATGCCACATTGATAAGGAGGCATAAATTATGTAATTCAAGAGCTAAATATACATCTATGATGGAAAAATGGAACCAGCTTATTTCATCGTCCCAAAGTTAATCAAGTGACCATTCCGGGGGACCAAAACGAAGAGAAAAAGGGAAAACAAAACAACCATTCTTGGTCAAACCCAATAGCTCAAAAAGGAATAGGTTGTCTAGACGGCCATGAATCTATCTTTTTGAAGTACTTGACAGGTATAACACCATCAAAACCCTCAGTCAGTATTACTTTGTTGTCGGAGACGTAGAGCTTCATTCCCTCTGCAAAATTTAAAAGCAACAATTAGAAATTAGGCATATGCATTTCGCATCGTGATGAACTACAAACTATTTACCTTCCAAAGCTTTTTTGACGTCAAGAAATATCAAGACATTTACATCTCGTCTCATGCCTGAAAATGAAAAATCACATGAACAATCTGAAGAACAATGCTTGCGGGCATCAACAGTGCTAAGCACCACAACTCAACCTCTTGTTCATAATTAAACATCCTTTAAGAATTAAGAGGGTGCACTCAGGGGTGTTTTCAGAAGTTAAAATATATTCAAAAACAGAATTATTGATTATCTTACCACTAATCACTTCACCATCCATCGGCAAGCCGCAAGAGAAGTGCACATGTAATCTTTTCATGCGTTTTAGACCAGACTCTAATATGGATTCCAAATTCTTCTTATAAGTTCCATGTACACACACTGAAATCAGAAGGAAGGAGAAAAACAATAATGCAAACAAAAAGGCCTTTTGAATAAGAAATGACATATGGTTAATGGTTTTCTCTCCTTTGGAGACATACAATTTCAAAAGAGTCCAAAAAAGAAAGCACCTGGAATTTCATCAGCTGAAAGAATGGGCTTTAATAGTCTTTCAGATTCAACTGCCTGCAAGTTACGAACAAAAATTCACATAAAACTTTTGGTGCAAGCTACTGTTGCTTTTTTGGCTAACAAAGTTAGATGCTCAGTCGAAAAATGACGATCATAAACAAATGGGGAAAAGAACTAAATACAGGTAATCTTAGGCTAACATCTGTTTCAAAGCAAAATATGCAACATTATGACATTTATACCAAGAACAAGAAGTTCAAATTGAAAGGTTACCTACACAATGCAGTTGAAAAGGGTGACAACACATGTTTTACGTTCAAGATTGCTGAACAGGAAGCAGATATAGTGCTCTAGTCGTAAGTTAACCGTAATTAAACAAAAAGGTATTCTGTCAAATGGATTTGCTATTTCAAGTTCAAAAGAAGATTTTTACTAATCAAGTTCAAAAGAAGATTAAAAAGAAGGATATATCACCGTTATCGTGTGACCTTGGTTTGCGCGTATTAAAAGCTCTCCATTTTCTTCCAGGAGGCTAAACCTCTGCTTGTTATCTCTGCAGACCGCCTGAAATAGTTTTTAACTTTTTCCTTGAGACAGTTTGTGAAGAAAATAAATAACTAACAGAAGAATCACTTTTACTAAATCAACCCAAACATCACACAGTTTCGAAATATGTAACTTATGATCAGTAACAAAATGTTCACGCTTTTACTATTCGGTAATGTTCAAAAATAGTATAAAATAGTCAAGAAAGCAGAACTCTTAACACACTAACCTCCCTAATTTCATCAACAGTATGTGATCTTAATGGGATATTGGCAAACGTCTTCAAATTGAGCTTTAAGAGATCATTAACCTTCACGTACCCATCACTCCGCATATGCAGATTCAGTTCAGAAGCCATATGGCGCAAAATTCGTGTCCTGGAAAAAACTAAATTGAGCTTAAAATTTTGAGGGTAAATTGAAAAAACAACAATATCATTGCAATTCAACTGCACAAAAGAAAATATCGAAAGGAACTAATCACCTCCATATTTTGCTTCAAAGTCTTAATTTATCAAGATCATAGTAACTAAGTAATAAACAGGTATTCTAAGTTCTCAGTTCTTACAATAATCTACCAAGTGTGTCAATCTTATCTTTACCGCCGCCTCCGCCACTGCCACCGCCACCACTTCCACTTCCACAACCTCCCAATCTCTGTCTATCATTTTTCATCTCCAAGTCTCTTCCTCTACCACCACTGCACATTCAATAACGTAAACCAGCATATAAATCCTTATTCATTGGTGTCGTAGAAATTGCGGGGAATTCACAACAAATTCAAAAAGAATAGTAATCAAGAATAGTAATCAGAAACAAACTCGAACGAAAAAAGCCTATTAATTAAGCTCAGAAAATCAAAAATTGACATGAGAAACCGCCAAAAAAAAAACTTTACTTTCTTCAACTTCTCTAATCTCTCATTGTTTTTCAGCAATAAAAACTATGAAGGAACAATCTTTATGAAATAAATTACAAATATTATAGAGAAAAAATAAAATAAAACCTTGTGTTGGAGCGAGCAAAGGAGGCGAATGAAGAAGTGTTGGTGCTGCTGGTATTAGCATTGTTGTCCATAGAAGTGAAAGAAGGAGCAATGGCGAGAAGAGGAAGAGGAGGAGGAGAAGGGACACGTGGAAGGAGAAGAGGCCAGTAGCGCAGAATTCTTGTGCTGCTGTACGTCAAAGACGCCCACATGAATGAATCTGCCAATTGTATAGAAGAACTTTCCCTTCCACAGCCTGCTCGGTGGGTGACGACTGACGAGTGATAAGTAATTAAACCCACATCGTTTAAAATGAGAAAACTTTTGAAACTGCTCACTATTTAAATGCAACAGATCTGAGTATACAAATGTAGTTTCAAACATTCAATATAAAGGAGGTTTTTTTAATTGAAAAGGTTTCTTTTCTTTGATACATTTTTGTTAAAATATGTTTTCCAAATTTTTTATAAATACATTATTATCCATCCAAAGAAAGTCACGGACGTGAACACAAAAAATTCACTCTTCCGTATGCCTTAACAATTTTGGAAAGCTACACACCCTGCATTTTATTAACACCGTTGATGCTTTTCTTATTAACCTCTGGTTTCTATTAATTTAAATTATATGAAATTCTGTTTCGTCTATCATATTCATATATGTTTTCGTACTTCTTGTTTATTAACACGTGCTAAATTAATTAATCAATTACGTTGAGTATTCCTAACTTCTAGGTTTCTATCACTTGACTAGTTTAAAGTACGTGTTTAAGGCGCGCATGTAGTGTGTCACGTGATAAGAAAATTAATATATATGGGTTACGTGAAGAGATGTTAAGACAATGTCAAAAAGTTGAGAGATGTTAAAATATAGCACAAATTTTATAAATTCTCTTGAACTTAGTTATTTGTGTCAACATGCTCTTGAATTTTAAAATGTACATGTTGTGCTTCCCGAATTATGACATCTCTCCAACTTTTCCCCCTCTGTTTGATTCCGCTAAATTTTTTAACGAAAATGTTTATGAATACCCTTGAACTTTATTTCTTGTGAAAACATGCTCCCTGATATAATAACACCCCACCACTTATGATCAAGTAAAGGTTCCTGAACGGAAAAAAAAAAAAAAAAATCTAAATTTCAAAACTTTATCTAAGACTCAATAGTAAAAAGCTATTAGAGTTCTGGTTATGGAGAAACTCACATCCTGGGAGAAGATCTTCAACCAGCTAGGAGGAGTCCTCTTGTACGGAAGAGCTGAAGCAGAAATTTGCTTACTGCGCGAAAAAACAAAGCGATTAACTAATGCCGAAGCTAACTAATGCATGTAGGACTAAATAAAATCTAAAGGGAAGCTAAGATTTGAAGTAATCATTCATCCAATTAAACGAAAGAGGAATTAACTAATGCCGAAGCAATGATCTGACGGATTAATCGTAATTTGCCAGTTTACGCACAGCTACAAGAAGACAGCAATTTAGCTATCTCATAAACAGGCAGGAGGCATGTAATTGATTCTTCAGCCTCCAGTATAATATTGGCGTAAGTGCTAAAAAAGCAATGCATGTAGGACTGAATAAAATCTAAAGGGCGCCTAAAATTTGACATAACAAAATCACTGACCAAAGTTAAGCCAAAAGAATTTGAATACCAAATGCCAGTTATGATAAAAACAAATGAAGTAACAGCTCACATAAACCAAATTAAAGAATATAAAAAACCCCCAATCAAATGAAAAAAAAAACAAAACAAAACAAAACAAAACTTCCAAATCGAATCAAGAGACAAATGCACCAAAAAAATAATAACACCCCACCACTTATGATCTAGTAAAGGTTCCTAAACGGAAAAAAAAATAAATCTAAATTTCAAAACTTTCTCTAAGACTCAATAGTAAAAAGCTATTGGAGTTCGGGATAAGGAGAAACTCACATCCTGGGAAGAGATCTTCAACCAGCTCGGAGGAGTCCTCTTGTACGGAAGAGCTGAAGCAGAAATTCCCTTACTGCGAGAAAAAACAAAGCGATTAAAGTAAGAAAAATCGAAGCTTTGTAGAAATCTTGATTGTAGTCTAGGGATAGTTTAATGGGAGAAAGATCGTGCGAACCCTCGACTGTGCATGCGATCCATGGCGACGGCCGGGCTGTCTCTGTGTCTCTGTTGGTTGGCCTAGCTAGCTTCGCCTCTCCGCTTCTGCTTTCAGATTAATTCGAGATATAATTTTATGTGAAAATTTTTTATTATAATAAAAAAATTAAATACGATTGTTGTCGTTGTTGAGAATTTTTCACTTTAATAAAATTTAAATTCTAAATTTAAATGATGAACGCCGTTTTAAGAAAAGTTTTGGTTAATTGCATTGCCGTCTTGGGCTTTTCCGCTTCATTTATGGGCTTCGAGGGCTGATTATTGGGCCAGCAAAAAGGCTACAGTTTGAACGGACACGGAGTAAAAGCAAAGGGGAAAACGAATAGCTACAGGCGGCGGTAGCTATTCTAAGGAAAAAATCACCATTGATCGTGACTTTTGGTTTCATGACGAGGGTTTGGAAAGGAAAAAAAAGGTAAGGCGCGTTCCCATTTCCATTGATCGTGACTTTTGGTAAAAAGAGTTTTCCGTGGTTGCTCTACTGATTTAAGGTTCAACGTTTTCATTTCACTTCGAAAACGACAAGATGGCTAAACGCGTCTTTTCGCTATGACCGACGACTAACCATACGATACGACATCCGAAGATCATTACAGAACTTTCAATTTTCTCCACTCTGCGATTTCTCTCTCTGGTTTTATTTTCCTCTGTGCTTTGATTTCCATGGTAATAAGTTTACGCTTAAAAAAAAAGGAGAGAGCTTTACAGTTGTATGCTGCCGTTTTGAATGGAAGGAAAAAGTACCATTTGAACCAAAGAGTACCATTTTTGAGGGGTTGCTTTTGTGACATCATATTTAATGCGTGTTTGGTTCATAAATCTCGACCCAAAGAGTACCATTTAAACCATCCGAACTTGGGTTTGGAACAAAAAACTCTAAAACAAAAATCCAATTTCAAAAGACGATCTTGAGTTTTATGCTCTTTACATGTTAAAGCATTTAAAGAAATATACTTTCCAAAAATAATTTGTCTATTTAAGAGTATTTATGTATTTTCCCATTGTTTTCATCCATATAAATTAAAGAGAGCCTCCTATAAAAAATTAAAAATCTACTCTTTTATTGTATATTTATTAGTTTGTCAACACATTACATCAATATTAATTCTTACATGTTGTCACTGTTATAATTGAAAGGGGCATTATTGTATATTTATTGGTTTGTCAACACATTACATCAATATTAATTCTTACATGTTGTCACTGTTATAATTGAAAGGGGCATTTTTCTTCCCTATAAACGTAATAAATATCCGTTACGTAATAAAAAGTGTGATTAAAGAGACGTTTGGTTTAGAATTATAAGATTAAAATTATTTTTAATTTACGTGTATTTTTTATAAGAAAAAACACTATAACGAATTATGAATCATGATTCAAATCATGGTATAAATCTCCATACCAAACGTTTCTTAATTGATTAATGGTATTTTATTTGTGTACCTTGAGAAGACTTCAATAGTCTTGATAATAAGATTATTATACAACATTTTAAAGACGTGAAAATCCATCAAGAACGATGTGTAGTGTGTGCCGAATTGATTCTAACTATTTTATTGTAGTTAGAATTAGGCCCCTAAGAAAAATTTATGGCTTCGTCATAATATCTTTTTATTATTTTGTTGATTTTTGTTTATATTGGTTTGTTATATTTATTCATTTTTGCATGTTAGAGTTTAACTCACATTATAAGTTAAATTAGAATATTTAAATATATACTTTTGTAACAAGAAAAAAAGGAAAAGAATAATTCTTTAAACATTAGACGAAATTTTGGCAAAAGAAAACATATAAAATAAAAAATATTTTCGCAAACACGGGTACAGGGAACGTGCCTGAGGCACGTCCCTCGTGGCTCATCATAGTCATAATAAGACGTGGTAGCTGTGTCGTAGTCTTAGCTGGCTACTTGATTTTCTTTCTATTCTTTAAAGGGATTTATGTTTAATGAATCTTTTACTTATTTGGAGACGAAAACAAAAAGTTTATCGGAGTATAAGGGACTTATATTAAATTTATGTTTAATGAATCTTTTACTTATTTGGAAACGAAAACAAAAATTTTGTCGGAGTATAAATTAATATGAATTTAATCAACTTCAAATAGCTTTCGAGTTTTGTGAATTGTCTGTTGGTAAAGGTTCACTTTTTTTTTTTTTTTACCAAGTTTTGTTATAAGATAAATTAACAATTTAGCAAAACTTGAAAATAAACGTAAAAAAAAAAAATATAAAGTTTGTATTGCAGTTCGGTAACCACCTATATTTATAAGGTCGCGTTTAGATGATGACCAATCAACTAAGTAAATAATATTATAATTTAAATGGACTTAATCACCCTGAGACTTTTTCTCTAAATATGACGTCTATGAGCTTGAAACTACTCAATAGATTTGCTCAATAAACTCCTATCAACTTACAATATTGAAATCCCTTCAACAAAATAATTTTCTCCTAAAAATCTAAATTTCCTCTCCCAAATAAATATGAAAAAAAAACCAATCGCTCACAAATGATCCGACTCTATGAAATTCTAGGACTAAAAAGCATGCTGAGATCATTATGGAACTTTAATTAAATAGCTAATCGACTAGCTATCAAAAACTTCAATGTCATCCGCTGCACAAAGTTTATTGCATATTTAAAGTCAACTTCAGCAAATTCTTAGCCTCCCCTGTATAAATGCAGTATGATCTTTACAGAATGCACCATGAACTTAGACCTTTTTGTATAACCAAGCAATGGCCTAAAAGTTGATCTTCACCAAATCAGATCAAAATCAACTCCAAAATACGTTTCCTGCAACAAATCAATTTTCAAAACAAATATTCTGCAGCAAATGAATCAACTCATCTATTTGTAACTTACCAAATTCACCAAAAAAAAAATTTTGATTTTTACCAAATCAAATCAAATTGATTGATTTTAACCGTTTCTAAAAAGACATTTCCTGCTACCATTAAAATTTCAATAAGATCATCATCAAATCCTTTCCAAATCATGCCCAAAATAATGGCAACAAATTCATCAATGAAAATTCCAACGAGAGAGAGAGATTAAAGGGAAAATACATTGCAAAAATAAAACAAATAAAAAATGGAGATGACGTATAATAGAATAATATGAATTTAATCAACTTCAAATAGCTTTCAAGTTTTGTGAATTGTCAAAAAAAGAGAGATTACAAAAATGGGAAATACATTGCAAAAATAATAAAAAAAAAGATAAAAAATGGAGACGACGAAGACTTATGAAAGACATACCATTCATGAGAAACGATATGCCATTCGTGAAACTAAGAGAGAGCTTCTTTTACACATAAATACGTCGTTTCTCAAAATTAAACACAATAAACTCTAAATGACATGTTGTTTTCACATTAATTACAACATCACAGCAACATTAAAGCGACGATATATGTGTCGTTTTATGATACTATTTTTGTACGAAGACACCTATTATTCACCTAATAAGAAATTCATGTATACGAGCATTTAAGAATTTTTAAATTTATATTCAAAAGAAATATATGTAAAAATGACAGTTGATAAAAAAATTAAATAAAAATACATTTAAAAAATTATTTTAATTAATTAAAAATAAAATAAAAATATGCATGAAAAAATTACTTTCATATAAATAAAGTGACAAATAATATATATTTTTAAAAACACACAAAAATCAAAATGTAAAAAGAATTTTAAAATAACGTTAAAAAAGAAAAAAAAAAAAAAAAAAAAAAAAGTAGAGTGGCTGCGCGTGGCATTCTCAGAGCCTTCGTTCTTCATGTATTGTTAGATTAACGACACGAACCGTGAACTATAAAGTAAATTTCGTCTGTCAGAGGAAGCGCAATTTAAAAAATGGAACGACGTGTCGTTTTCAAGCCTAAGTTAATGTCTTTTTCTCTTAAAACGACAAGAAACTTCGAAGTCCTAAATATTTTACCTAGTTAAGATTTAAGTTTTTCTTATTAATAAAAAACTTTTAAAAATAATTATATTTAATTTTTTTATTATAATCTCAACTCAAATTAAAAATTTAAATGTGACAATGTTGCTCTACGGATTGTGAAGGCTTTGGGCAACCAATCATTCCTGATTTTTTGAAATTTTTTGGGTTATTTTTTTAGAGTGTAATTTGAGTGTAGTTTTTGAGTTGAATTTGAGTTATAACTTGAGTTGAAGTTGTAACTTGAATAAAGTTACGTAAAATTGAATAAAATTAAAACTTAAAAGAACATAAATTTGAATAAAATTAAAACTCGAATCGTCTTTTTTTGAGTTTTTTAGACAAAAGAACAACCCTTTTATTTTCACTTTTTTCTAGAAGGATCGTGCATTACGCTTCTCTTATTTTCTATTCCCAACTAATTTTCTACCAAACATTTTTTGTATTAATCAACACAAATAATCAGGATTAGATTAAGGCGTGTTAGATACGAGGTTGACAACGAGGATCTCTTTCCAATCTATGAGGTTGACACTTCCAACACTACCAGACGAGCTTCAAATACAAATATATAACCCAATCAATACCAGAATGAGAATCCAACGATTTCCACCATACTATAAGCCCCTTAGCTCCCCAACCTAACCCAAATCTCCAAATTCCAATTCTTCCAAGCTCCAGCCATGGCGGATAGTATAGACAAAATGAACCCCATTGTCATTTTGCTCGAAGAACTAGAACCAGAAGAGCCTAATCAACAAGTCCCAGACCTCCAAAAAGATCCCCTAAACCAGTGGTGCGCCTCTATTAACTGCGCGGCCGACGAGTATAACTGCAACCCATTTGCTTCCGCCGCCTTCGTTCCGTCTCCGACAACCACCCTCGCCGTCACCGCTGGCTCCGGGAGTGGCGGCTCATTCTGGCTCTCGGAGACCGACTCCGACTCCGACTCCGGCCGTGACATCAGCTGCTTCGTCACCGATCTCTTTGATCGCCGTCGCGACGACGGCGGTGATCGAGGTTCGGGTTCGGTAATTGGGGGTTTTAAGGTTGAGCCTGAAAAAGGTGGGCTTTCGGTTGATTCTCGCGGCGATGGGCTTAGGGTTGATGAATCCGACTCCCAATCGGATTGCGAAGAAAATTGCGTTGTTAAGCTTTCGGATTTCGATGCATTGAACGATGGTGAGGGGTCTGTATACGGAGAAGTGTTTGATTGGGAAGAAGTAAAGGAAAGAACGACCAATAAGGAGGAGAATGTGAGCACTGTGATCGACGACGGAGAAGTTGAAGAGGTACCACCGGCGGCGTCTGAATTCGCCGTGGAAGATGAAGATGAAGATGAAGATGAAGATGAGGGGACGCCAGTTTGGGAAGTTCTCATGGCGATCAACGGTCTAGCGGCGAACGCCAGCTTAGAACGCAATAACACAACGGCTGATACTGGCGCCGCTTCCTATCTGGCCGCTGAGGATGCCTATGAAGATTACATGTACGCCGTCGGCCCTGAATCCGATGCCCTTTTCGAGCGATTCATGGAGAGCGAGAGTGCTCTGAGGGGCAGCCCCCCGGCCGCGAAAAGCGTCGTGGAGAATCTCCCTTTTGTTGAGTTGACAATGGAGGAATTGCGGGGAGAGGTTGCGGCTTGTGCTGTCTGCAAAGATGAGTTTTTGGTTGGGGAGAAGGTGCAGAAGTTGCCTTGTTGTCACTGTTATCACGGGGACTGCATTGCGCCATGGTTGGGAATTCGTAACACGTGCCCCATCTGTAGGTTCGAGTTGCCGACGGATGATCCAGATTACGAGCGGAGGAGGGGCGAAAGGGCTTGTCGGCGTAGCCCGTCGACGAATTCGGAGGCCATGTAAATAGCCCTTTTGGAGACAGTCTCTGGTTCTTTTCAGTATTAAGAATGAACCATATTATGGACTTGGAGTGTACTATTTTCTTGAAATTTTTATGCTGAATAAATTGCCTTTGATGGCAAATTTAATTCTTGGTGGTAGTACTGATCACTAGATTGAAGAAATGCATCCTTGTTTTCAATTTCTTGGTCTTGTCCTATGTCAGTTCTGTAACGAGGGATTGGTTACAAAGTTATTTTAACAGTCATAAAATGATTACTTTTAACTAATTATAACCATTACAGGCTTATACAGACCAATTGCTTTATGATCAACTTTTTCTGATGAATTATTGTTAGAATTAAATATGATTTCCATTGCAGTCAGAAAGTCAAATGTAGCTTGTTAGTGATTTTTAATGAATCTGTGGTCATATTTCTATAAACTGTAAGCTAACCAAATTACAAATGAATCTGCTTCATGGGTTAGTTAATGTCTTGAGCTGAATTTTTAAAGTTTTGATCCTTGTTAAGTGATCATGTGCTAGGCTGTAGATAGTGGTGATCTATTTTGGGTGAATGCTAGATCTGGTCATCCAAATGTGATTAATAAATATCTATTAATGCACTATACTTAACCCCAATGACTTTTCATGCCTTGAAAAATATTGTTTATAAATTTTATTATCAAGGCCATTAAAGATTGAGTTCATTGTTTTTACTTGTATTGGGTTTTTTGGAGAATGTGATGCAGTGCCGGCTCTATGCCTAGCCAAGTTAGACAATTGCCTGAGGCCTCTAATGAATTAAAATTCCTCATTAATTATATCTATATAACAAATTTATTTTACATTAAAACTGAAAGTAACTGCATTTTGTGGAACCATTTTTTGGAGATCGTGTACTTAGAATCTGAAAATTACACGCACACGATTAACCTCTTTTTATAGGAGAGATTAATAGTCAAGACTTGTTCTTCGATATGAATTAACGGTTTCCATTAGTTTCGTTTAAAAAAAGATTTCTATCACCACAACATCTTAAGAGCTCAGAGGCACATAAAAGGATTTTCTCCGTTTAGACACAACAACGATTTTCTTTAATACGTCAACTGCTTTTAATTGATAACCAACTAATCGCCTTTTTTTTCTTTGACTATATCTCAAAAAAGACTCAACTATTTCCTTATGAATATATCTATATATACACACCTATATATAAGTATATCTATGTATATGTGTCGATTTTACAACATTGCAAAGACATAAAATAAAATAAAATAAAATAAAAAAAGAACAGAACCTAACCTCTCCTGCCTTTAGCTCTGCCTACTTTCCCTGCTCATCAACGTCATTTCAAGAGTTTTACAAGTTCTCAACCTTCCCTTTAAAAAGGCTATATCATTTTTTTTTCCTTACTTCTTTCTTGTCAATTTTTTTATTATCATTGTTTTAGCTTCACACTAGTTTTTTTTTTTTATTTTTTATTTCTTGTTATTTTTCTGTTTTACTAGTAATTATTTGATTTTTAATTTAAATATAAGTTTTTAACAAATGTGACTGGCAAAATATAAAGATTTAACTAATAAGTTTACATCTTAAAAGGCAAAAAATATGTTTTAAGCCAAGATGATGGAATTTTAATAAACTTTAAGAACGCCGTGTTCCCTATTTATTAACCGTCAAATCTGTATTATTTTTTTAATTTAATTTAATTTTTAATTATATTTAATACACATCTAACGACTAATAACTAGAGAACACTTATATTTTTAAAAAATATAAAACACCAGAGAAAATATATATATATATATATATATATATATATATATTTTTCTAAAAGACCACTTTTAGAGTTTTGTGCTTAAGGACCCATATTTACTTGAGTAGGCCATGATGTAATATCTCTGACGAGGACTGTAAAATTAATTTTAGTGGGGGTTTATCATATATGAATGTAATATAATACACACTTTCATATATAAAATTTTTAAAAATTAAAAGTTAAGCCTCCCAGCTGAGGCCTTAATCGCTCCGTCTATGGTCAAATATGTCTGTTTTCGTGTACCGTGAATATTCTCGGCACTTTCCTCTGGGTTTGTCTTGCTAGGCACACAAAAGCCAGAGCAATAAGAAAATCAAAACATTGCAGACGTAACGAGTTTGAAGGCAATTTGAGTACAATCACCGGACGTTCATCCAAAGGTTAGACGAATGACGTACTTGTCAAGGCTCTAGAACACAACATTTTTTGTTCAATTGGTGCAGAACTGTAAAATTTTAACAATTATATCATCACTTTTGAGATTAACCAAACCAACGACGAAATTTTTTGTTTTGTCATTACTTTGTATTGCAATCAATTAAATCATCACTTTTGACGGGTCGCTTTTTAGTTGTATGGAAGTCTTTGGTTTGGAAAGTAGATAGTTGAAAAGGCCATGGACTTATTTGGTACACAATAATATGCACGTACGCAAAATTGCTTTGCTCAAACCTACTACCCAATACGAGTTCTTCTTCTTCTTTTCTTCTTTTTTTTTTTTTTTTTCAATGAGAAGACCCAAAACCATTCGAGAACTCCTTTCGAAAGAAGAAAAAAAAAATCTCGAACTTTGTCCACAAATAAAAGTTTAAGTGCGAAAATTATAATACAGCACGTGTTAAGGAGTAAATTCTGTTAATTTCTCTTTAGAGTTACATAATCATTTTTATTTATTTATTTATTTACTTAACTTTTGAGGTAGAGTTTTAAAAGAAAGTTATTACCAGATGCTCTTTTTCTTAGTTCTATGTATCTTCTTACTTGTTAGTTGTCATGAAGTTCTCCATATTCAGTTGTGGTTCTAATTCACCCGTCCGCATTATGGTTCAACACCTACCGGCCGACTAATTCAAAGATTAGAAACAAAATGAAAAGGAAGGAAGAAAAAGAAATGTCACGTGAGCCCGTTTGATTCATGGATTAAAATTATTTTCGATTTACGTGTGTTTTTTATGAGAGAAAATATTATAGCGAATCATGAACTATGATTCGAATCAGAAAACGAATCCTCCAACCAAACAGGATTTTGAAAATATTTTTACACATTTTTTAAGACACGAAAATGAAAACAGTCTGCAAATCATGTTTATTTAGTAAATATTTTTAAAACAAAAATGAAAATAAAAAACAGTGAGAATAATTTTTGTAAAGGAATTAAAAAACTGTTAAAAGTTATTTTTTTTATGTTTTCATTTTTTAGTACTTATTAATAATGTTATAATATCTTAATTAATAATTATAATTAAACATGATTTCACATTTTTATTATACTCAAAATAATCTCTTAAAAAATTAACTAAACGTAATTTCAAAATTAATATTAAAATGCTTCTCAAAATAATTTTATTTTTACTTTTATACTAAAAATAAAATTATTTTTAAAAACGTTATTAAACGGGCCGAAGAAAAAATAGTGTGAGAGAAGAAAACAACCACTCATTTTGTTTGATTTGGGCAACTTTTCTTATGATCTACTACATTACTCCTTAAGGAGGCGATCCAAAATTCAAGACGTCGCATTTCAGCGTCAGAGTCAACAGAAAAATTAGCATGTCTGTATCTGACCATAAATTATTTGAGAGAACGTGTATATTTAGAAGATATATATATATAATGGGTTTTTATATTAGTCGTTAAATTAGATAAAAATCATATCGTATTAAAAAAATATGGATAATTATAGCTTTTTATACAAATAGATGGTTGAAAATAGAGCATTTTTTGTAGTTTATTTTTCCAGTGACTATGAGAGAAATCTCTTATATATAAGTGATAAAATTATTTTGGTATATTATGTCATAGTGAAATATACTCTTACTACATTGTGTTTTTTATAATATTAAAGTGGTACCTCAACGTTTTTACAAACATCTTCTTTGAACCTTTAAGCTGATTTTTGAGATGTAAAATGACCTTAGTACCCTTCTATTTAATTAATCAAAATCTAATAGATGTAGAAAAAATTATAAACTTTTTTATTTTATTATTTTTTTAAATATTTCAATGTTTTAAAATATATTCATATTTTTTAAGAAATACTGATTTTTATTTAATCAATAAGAACAGTAGTTTGGACATTATATGTCTCAAAAATTAGCTTCAGGATACTAAGAAGTTGTTTTTAAAAACGTCAAGTTGTCGTTTTAATATTATCAAAAATACATGATACTAAGAGTATGTTTCGCTATAATACAGAGTACCAAAATGATTTTATCCTTATATATAATAATATCTCAAACAAAAAATGTAACAAACTATTAAGGGGGCGTTTGGTATGCAGTAATCTTAAGAATGAGAATGAGAATCTGTAATATTACCATGTTTGGTACAATAATTATTTATTTATAATACAGCACGTGTTAAGGAGTAAATTCTGTTAATTTCTCTTTAGAGTTACATAATCATTTTTATTTATTTATTTATTTACTTACTTAACTTTTGAGTTAGAGTTTTAAAAGAAAGTTATTACCAGATGCTCTTTTTCTTAGTTCTATGTATCTTCTTACTTGTTAGTTGTCATGAAGTTCTCCATATTCAGTTGTGGTTCTAATTCACCCGTCCGCATTATGGTTCAACACCTACCGGCCGACTAATTCAAAGATTAGAAACAAAATGAAAAGGAAATTAATATTAAAATGCTTCTCAAAATAATTTTATTTTTACTTTTATACTAAAAATAAAATTATTTTTAAAAACGTTATTAAACGGGCCGAAGAAAAAATAGTGTGAGAGAAGAAAACAACCACTCATTTTGTTTGATTTGGGCAACTTTTCTTATGATCTACTACATTACTCCTTAAGGAGGCGATCCAAAATTCAAGACGTCGCATTTCAGCGTCAGAGTCAACAGAAAAATTAGCATGTCTGTATCTGACCATAAATTATTTGAGAGAACGTGTATATTTAGAATATATATATATATATAATGGGTTTTTATTAGTCGTTAAATTAGATAAAAATCATATCGTATTAAAAAAATATGGATAATTATAGCTTTTTATACAAATAGATGGTTGAAAATAGAGCATTTTTTGTAGTTTATTTTTCCAGTGACTATGAGAGAAATCTCTTATATATAAGTGATAAAATTATTTTGGTATATTATGTCATAGTGAAATATACTCTTACTACATTGTGTTTTTTATAATATTAAAGTGGTACCTCAACGTTTTTACAAACATCTTCTTTGAACCTTTAAGCTGATTTTTGAGATGTAAAATGACCTTAGTACCCTTCTATTTAATTAATCAAAATCTAAT